GCATCCTAGTGGGGAAGAAATCATGGAACCATTTCTTTGCAGCACCTTGCAGGCTTAGGACGGACCTCACCTGTGTACCCCAAGCAAATTGAACCACACGATTTGTTCATAAGCACCAGGCCACAATGTAAGCCCTGATTCACTGTGGTTAATATTTTAAAACTAAGATGCCATGTGGCAATGACTAAAAGAGGGAGTAATTAATTCTAGCCTGGCAGCGAGGGAGTGGGAGGGAGGTGGCAGCTCCAGCAGTCTCAGGGGGGCTCCATAGTAATAAATACAAAACTGTTGTTTCCAGGTGGCCAAAAATATAAGGGGAATGGGTGGGTGCAGAAGGATGCTGTGCGACTCCATTTTAGAGCCAACATATCCAACTTCATAAAGATCATACTGTTATTTCAAAAATATCAATAGGCTGGGTGCAGTGGCTCACACCTCTAAACCCAGTACTTTGGGAGGTCAAGACATGCAGATCACATGAGGACAGGAATTCAAGACCAGCCTGGCCAACATGGTGAAACCCTGTCTCTTCTAAAACTGTGGAAGTCAATCAGGTGTGGTGGCCAGCACCTGTAACCTCAGCTACTCAGGAGGCTGAGGCAGGAAAATAACTTGAACCCAGGATGCAGAGGTTGCGGTGAGCCAAGATCACACCACCGCACTCCAACCTGGGCAACAGAGCCAGACTCCATCTCAATAATAATAATATCAATAACACATCAATGCTGACACCATCTCAGGTGGGGGCTCAGAAGCCACTATCAGTGAGTGGCAGATTCTCTCCACCCATCATAGGCCGAAAACAAAAAGTAAAGCTAGACCTAAAAAAACTGAAAGAATGTGACAGAGGTCATTGATGGAAAATGTCCTGGTATAGTTCAGGGAGCATAAATTTTATACAGTGCTTCCAAATGAACCATTTAAATGGCAAAATCTAAAGTGTTTTATGGAGAAGAAAGAGTACGGGTCTCAAGTCATTCAAACCTCATTTTAAATCCCACCTTAGATTCCAATTCCGGGTTCTTTTGAACCACCGAGCATGCCATGCCACCTCTGTGGCTTTAGACAATAGTCAGATTTCATGCATACGTATATGAAATTCATAGACACCCATCATAGGTGATATTTCAGGTAATGTAAATGCTCTGAAGACATATAAAGTAGGAAGAGCAAAGAGAATGAAGGAGATACTATATTTAGACAGAGTGGACATTCATCTAAGACTTTTGGCTTTGAAACACAATTGAATTCTTTCTAGGCCCAAGCCTGTAGGTCTTTTTAAAGTACTAAGTAGACTTAATTTGGTGGCTGCAGGCAGGTGTACAAGCAGGGAAGAATTACAAAAGTCATTACAAATTTTGTGTGCTCCCAGGCACTAACTGAGCACTCTATGCATATGAAGTCATTTGCTGTACACTCTGCCAAATGCAGTAGGTAATTGTAATGTTTCCATTTACAGACAGGGAAACTGAGGTTCCAGGAAGTTACAAGGAATATGCCCAGAATATGGAATATGACCATGCTAGTCAGTGGGGTGGCCATCCCTGGAACCTGCGGAGCCTTGGGCCAAAGCTTCTATGCTACTTCACAATGTCCCATGAGCCCTCCCTAAGTAAAGCAGCAGAGGAGGACAAGACAGGGTAGAGCCTTCTGATTTGGGGAAGGCAGCAGCAGGAACCCGAGGGGACTTTCTGGAGCCCGACTGTATTCATTAGCTCTTGCTGTGTAACACTGTTACCATAACCCTAGTGGCTTAAAGCAACACACATTTCTTACCTCACAGTTTCTGGGGATCACAAGTCTGGGCCCAAATGGCAGGGCGCTCTGCTCAGTATCTCACAAGGCTTCTGTGCAGGGGTCAGCTGGGGCACATTTTCATCTGCAGCTTTCTCCACAACGAGCTCATTCGGGTTGTTGAAAGAATTCAGTTCCTTGCATTTCAGGACTGAGGGCCCTGTTTCCTGGCTGGCTGTCATCTGGGGATCACGCTCAGTCCCTCATCATGTGACCCCTTTGGGGACCACTCACAACATGACAGCTAACTTCAAGTCCAGCAGGAGAATCTCTCTCTTCAGGAAGGGCCAGTCCTTCTTTTAAGGGCTTCATCTAATTAAGTCAGGCCCAGCCCAGGCAATCTCCTTTTTTACATACCTCAAAATCGAGTGATTAGAAGTCTTAATCATACATGCAGGACGCATTTACATTTTCCATATATCGTAACTAATCACAGAATGGCATCCTGTCAGGCTCACAGGTGCCTCCCATGCTCAAGAGAACGAGATTATAAAGAACTTGGGCACCAGGGCACAGAAATGCTAGGATTCATTTCAACATGGCACCCTCCACGCCAGGAAAGCGTGATCCTGCTTCCTTCAGCCATCCTCCGCGTCTCCCCCGAAGGCTGCACGTGTTCCTGCCTTACGGAGAGGCTTGGTCCACATCACACAGCCAGAGGCCTCCCGAACGAACGTTTCTTAGCAGCCAGGCCTTGTTCTGAAGTGGGTAATTGTGATGTTTGCAGGCCCATCCCCTTGCCTGACTTGGGGCCTGCATTCATTGTTCTGATCTTGATTGCCTCATTCTACAATCATCCCTCCAGAGGAGGCTAGGCTTGCAGAGCCCTGGAAGAGCAGGCAGGGGGCTCTGGAGCATTCAGTCTTTCAGCATTTGCCATTAGCGACCTGGGGAGTGATGCCAATGGCTTCAATTGCTCCGTGGAGCCAGCAATCACAGCGGGCTTTGGGGGTCCCTGACATGAGCTGGAGAAAAGCCTCTGCGAAGCAGCTGCCAGCGTAATGGAAATGCCCTGTGGCCTCACTGAGCTTCCACGGAGCCAGGCAAGAGTCTCGGGCTGTGTGCCCTGCTCTAGAGAAGCCCAGCGTGAACTGCAGGGCCAACATGGGCTTTCCTGACAAAGCTGTTCTTGGGCCGAAGAAAACAGCAGAGGCCTTGGCTGGGAAGGCAGGGATCAGGATGGGAGGGCAGGGTGGGTGCAGTGGAGGGAGTGAGGGCAGCATCTGTGTTCTGTGATTCACAGGCAAGCTGGCAGTGTCTCCTGAGCCTCAGAGCACGTGGAGTTGGCTCTGCACCCCAGCTCCTCGTCAACCTCATCTTCCTCATCACACACAGTTGCAGCCCACAGCGTCCATCAATTCCCCTCCCTCTTTCTGCCACTCCCCAAGTGTTTACTGAGCATCTATTACAGGCCTAGCGCTGCTCTGGGCACCGAGAAAACAGGGGTGAACATGCCAGGCAATATTTCCTCTCAGGGTGATTACCTTTTAGGGAAGGGGCAGACATCAAACAGACAGATGGACAAGAAAAATATCAGATGGGGATGGTGGCTAAGCAGGAGATTGAAATAGGGTGAGGTGGTCGTGAGAGACAGATTAGGGAAGGTCTCTCCAAGGAGGAGGTGTTTAAGCTGAGGCCTGATGACATGAATGGCCAGTCACAAGATGCTGTAGACAGGCGTTACAGACAGTCCATGCCAAGCCTGAAGCCGGGGCAAGGTGGGTGCTTTCAAGACACAGCAATAGGCTGACGCCGTTGGAGGGAAGCACAGAGGAAAGTGAAGTATTAGGAGGGAGCTAGGTCAGCCAGGGCCTGGCAGCCTGCAGAGGAGATTGGCTTTTGTTCCAAGAGCACTGGGGAGCCCCTGGAATTATAACAGGGAGATTGATATGATCTGATATATCTTCTACAAGATACTCTGGTTTGGAGTGGAGTGAGAGTGGAGCCTTCCGAGGAGGTGACTGCAGTTCCAGAGTATGACTGTGAGTGAAGCAACTGAGACTCAGAGAGGTAGCGTTCCTTACGAGGGGCTCCCAGCTGGACAGGAATGGCCAGTGGGTGAGCACCATGGGGGGCTGCGTAAAACTTTAAATGCTGTCCCCACAGTCTCCCCCTGGAGCAGAAGAGAAGCTGATTCTAAATCTATTCCCTAAATGCAGCAGAATGTGTATGCAAGTGATTCAGTAAGGGAGGATTCTCAAGTGAAACCTATATAAGAAAGTGAGGGGGGAAGAATGGGGCAGGAGAAAGGATGTGGTTGCAGCTGGAGACTCCCAGACGAGCCCTGGAGTGTGGATTGCATCATAGTGACTCCTGCCTTGAGACTTGGAGAGGCAGGTTTTGGGAGCCCTGAACCGGTCAGTCATTGGCGAGCACAGGGTGGAGGGGTTGGAAACTCCCGGTAGGGAAGGGACTCCTGTCTGTCAAGGGCAGGGCTCAGGAGAAGTCACAGGTGTAAACTCTGAGATATGTCAGGCCCAGCATCTGGGGAACAGATGCACCTGCCAGTGGAAAGTACAGGACTCTGGACAGGGCACCTCCAGCATCTGTTATAGTAGCCATGACTTTACTGAGAGAGGACAGGGAGGAGGCCTAGACTAAGAAAGTGTCCTGCTGCAAGAAAGCATAGGACCCACATTTCTAACAGTAAATGTGTTAACATAGGAGGCCTATGACAGGAGAAACCTCTCGTTGCCTACAGATGCTCTCCAAATAATCAACTCCCACTGTACACTTAAAATAGGAATCAATTTATGGGTATTCCATTCATCCAGCTTCCCAGGAATAAATTCACTGCATTCTGGAAGGTTGTATCTAAATATTCATTTAGCCAGCATAAAAGGAGATTAGGATTAGGTGCACTTAACCAGTACATTAGAATCTTCCACCAAAGATATCTGCTCCTGTTTCTGAGAATAAATGGAGAATAAACAGGGCCTATTAGCAAGGAGTGGCTCTTCCTGTCCCCTGCTCTGTGATTGCAGAGAAGAAACCAGTAGCTGAGAAGTAGGACGGCCTAACAGCTGCTTCTGTGATGGTCACAGCTTTACTTAGAGACACTGGCTTTACCATTCAACTGTGTAGCTCTTTCGAATGTAGATCCGTGTTGTCCAAACGTTGCCTGCACATCAGAATGCCCTGGGATCTTCTAAAAATCCTGAAGCCCAGGCTGTATCCTGAACCAATTGAATTACAATCCCTGGGAGTACTTTTTAAATACTTTTAATTTTGAAATATTTTTAGATTTACAGAAACGTTGCAAGGGTAGTATACCTCTCACCCCACTTCCCCCATTGTTAAAACCTAACATTATCATGATACATTCGTTACAACCAAGAAACCGACATGAGTACATTACTCCTAATCAACCTCCTGACTTGACTTGGATTTCATCAGCTTTTCAATCGGTGTTTCTTTCTTGTTCCAGGACGAATCCAGAACACCACAGTGCATCTCGTTATCATATCCACCCTGTCTTCTTTAGCTTGTGACAGTTTTGCCAGTCTTTCTTTGTTGTCCATGACCTTGACAGTCTTGAGTGAGCATTGACCAGGGATCCTGTGGACTGTCCTCCAATCTGGGTGTGTCTATTCTTGTTCCTGTACAAGACTTGGGTTGTTAGATTTGGGTTACGGGTTTTTGGAAAGAATACAGCTAAGGCAACGTGGCCTACTTGTCATTTCATGTCGGGGACACAGTGGATCTATATGACATCACAGGTAATATTACAGTTCGTTATTTGGTGAAGGTCATATCGGCCAGGTCTCTCCACTATAAAGTTAGTATTTTTCCCTTTCCCAACTCTAAAATCTTTGACTGCGTCTAGCTCACCCTCACAGTATGGTGTGTGTGGAGGTGGGTGGAAATCAGTCAGAAATCTGTGAGGTACCTTTTCATAGCCACCACACTATCCTCACCAATTTGCATTAGATCTCAATTACTGTTTGCAAACTTTTTCAAGTGATCTAGGACTTTGCATACCCCTCAGTTCCCCTGGGATTGAGCCAGCACTTCCTGGCTGTTACTTTGGGTGAGTTATTTTAGGTTTATCTGAGCCTCAGTTTCCTCCTCTGAGAAATGGGCATTGGTCAAATATCTATTTCTAGGAGTTATTACCAAGATTAAATTAGATAATGCCTAATAAGGTTGTGACTATGGTGCAAACATTCACCAAATGTTCACTATCAATTGTGTTAATAATAGTGGTAGTAATAATTGCCTTCTTTATTCTGACCTTGTGTATCTGATATCTAAGGTCACAATAATGCACTTCGGTGACATAAAATAGTAAGTTAAAACTTACATTTGGGAAAAAGAAACAAAACTAAATCCACCGAGTTTATTAAACAAACATTTACTTAGCACTTACTATATACCCAGCATTGTTCAAATCATTTTATAAATATTAACCCATTCCATCTTCATAAAGAGAATTCAAGGTAGGGACTATTATCACTATTTTACACATTAGGAAACCGAGGCACAGTGAGGTTAGGCAGCTTACCTAATGGCACACAGCCAGTGAGTGGCAGAGCCAAGATTTGAATGTAGGCATTTCGACTTCAGAGTCCACACTTGTAACCACTACACGATGCTGTGTGGTATAAAGGAGAAGTATAAACTGTGTGAGACTGTGTGAAAGGTGGCGGGTCTCATCGGGAGAGGGAAGCCAGTGAGAAATAACATACGCTAAATCTTTTTTTCTTTTTTTTTTTTTTAAGATGGGTGGGGTCTTGCTCTGTCACCCAGACTGGAGTACAATGGCATGGTCTTGGCTCACTGCAACCTCTACCTCCCGGGTTCAAGTGATTCTCCTGCCTGGGGCTCATGAGTAGCTGAGATTACAGGTGTGTGCCACCACGCCTGGCTAAGTATTGTATTTTTAGTAGACAAGGGGTTTCACCATCTTGGTCAGGCTGGTCTCGAACTCCTGACCTCAGATGATCCACTCATCTCGGCCTCCCAAAGTGCTGGGATTACAGGCGTGAGTCACTCCACCTGGCCATCATCTGCTAAGTCTTAAACAAGCATATGCCAGACAGGAAAGAGGGGCCTAGATCAGGGAAAGAGAGCTGAGGTGTTCAGAAAGGTTGCTGAGGGACTCCCAGTTGAATGTGGCATTCTCTCCAAAAGCCAGCTGATATTAAGCATTCTCTCCCAAAGCCAACTAATATTAAATTTTCTTTCTGAGAAATACCTCCTTCTCTCTCTCACCATCTGTAGCTTGCTCTCTCAATTTCTGAATGTGCATTTGGGAATTCAGTTCGTCTTTGGTTTTAGGGATGTTGGAGCTGGCAGGGCATCTCTTTCAGTAAATGGAACTGATGGCCAGCATAAAAGAACGATGAATTCGTCTCCTTTGTAGGGACATGGATGAACCTGGAGAACATCATTCTCAGCAAACTGACACAAGAACAGAAAATGAAACACCGCATATTCTTACTCATAGGCGGGTATTGAACAATCAGAACACATGGACACAGGGAGGGAAGCACTTACACACCGGGGTCTGTTGGGGGGAATAGGGGAGGGACAGCGGGGGGTGGGGAGTTGGGGAGAGATAGCATGGGGAGAAATGCCAGATATAGGTGAAGGGGAGGAAGGCAGCAAATCACACTGCCACGTGTGTACCTATGCAACTATCTTGCATGTTCTTCACATGTACCCCAAAACCTAAAATGCAATTTAAAAAAAAAATAGAACCTGGACCACTCAAACCACATCCTCACATCCTCATGCTGTGTCTTCCACAGTTAAGAAAACCAGTCCACCCTCCTTAACTTTTAGGTCAGGAGTTTTGTAAAGCAAAGGAAGTTTCTGATTGGGAGAATTTAGATTAGCTATCGAATTATATTTGGGGAAAGTGAACGTTCATTTAAAACTGAGGGTCTAGGCTGAGCACGGTGGCTCAGGCCTGTAATCCCAGCACTTTGGGAGGCCAAGTTAGGTGGATTGCCTGAGGTCAGGAGTTTGAGACCAGCCTAACCAACATGAAGAAACCCTGTCTCTACTAAAAATACAAAATTAGCTGGCATGGTGACAAACACCTGAAATCCCAGCTACTTGGGAGGCTGAGGCAGGAGAATCACTTGAACCTGGGAGGCAGAGGTTGCAGTGAGCTGAGATTGCACCATTGCACTCTAGCTTGGGCAACAAAAGCAAAACTTGGCCTCAAAAATAAAACTGGGGTGTCTAAAAAAGGTTTTGTTTCTGGGGCAGTGTGGGTTTCAAAGTATTGCATTTACAGTTTCACCCTGGGCATGTGCCCAGATCCAAAGTCTTGCATCAGAATTCAACTACAAACTTCTGGGTGACAGAAATGCTATCTTCATCTTTCTCCTTCTCTTTCTCTCTCTCTCTCTCTCTCACACACACACACGCACACACACACACACACAATTCCCATACAATGGGTGCCCAATGTGTCTTAAATGAATTTATAATTAGGCCTGGCGCGGTGGCTCAAGCCTGTAATCCCAGCACTTTGGGAGGCCAAGGTGAGCCGCTCACGAGGTCAAGAGATCGAGACCATCCTGGTCAACATGGTGAAACCCGTCTCTACTAAAAATACAAAAATTTAGCTGGGCATGGTGGCACGTGCCTGTAATCCCAGCTACTCAGGAGGCTGAGGCAGGAGATTGCCTGAACCCAGGAGGCGGAGGTTGCAGTGAGCTGAGATCGCGCCATTGCACTCCAGCCTGGGTAACAAGAGCGAAACTCCATCTCAAAAAGAAAAAAAGAATTTATAATTAAATAGACTCATGATAAGGTGCTGTGACTTGCTTATTTGTTCCTGCATCTATATTTGAAATCCCAAGAGCACATGTAAATCTTAAGCTTTGTCCTTTCCTTTGTCCCATCTTGTCCCCATATAAAATTATCTTTCTACTTCCAAAACTGGCAGGGAAGAAAAGCATGTTAATTCACTTCATGACTGAAATTTTAAACATACCTTTACTGAAGTCTGAGACTTCAAAGCTGTGTGCCCTTGAGCCCAGGTAACTAGTGAGTGTCCCCAAGCATTGACATTATTTAATGGAGCTCATTGGAATTCATTTTATGCCCAAATATGTTGACTCCACTTCTGTCTAAAACCTGCTGGGAAAACTTGAAATTCCAGTGGCTTCACCAAGGGCATATTGATTCTAAGCTGAGTCTGAGCTATCTCTGAGCTATTATGTTTGAAAGACAGGATCTCACATTTAATTTTCCTTGTTTAGAATAAAAGAAAAGATGGTGTGTGGGTGTGTGTGTGTGTGCGTGCACAAGTGCATCCTATGCACATCTGTGCCTGTACGTGGGGTGGGAGGAGAAGCTGGAGAGGGAGATAAAAGGGGGTTGGCCTGTTTACTGAAAGAGAAGGGAAATTGCATTTGCAAGGTTCTCCTTATCAGGAGAACTGATAAGGAGATAATTATTATCTCCTTATTGACTGAGCCAGGAAATTTTGATGTTTATCTAAAACATCTTATGGAAAAGAAAGAAAAGATGGACCCATTTCCCATGACAGTGGCAGGGGAATGGGTCCTACTGCCACTCACCATGCCCAGGGGCTCCATCAGTACCCCAGCCCTCAGCCACAATGCACACACAGCCTCAGTGAAAACTAAATGCTTGCTGAAAAACTCACTTTCCAGACAAGTCTCATAAACTTCCTACCAAATTGCCACCTTTTAATTTCGTGATCCCCTTGAAATCCAGAAAGAATAGATGTGCTAAGAGTGGCCCTTTAGGTGGAGATATAAGGACAGAAGAGGTGAATAAAAAAGTGCCCTGTCACTAATATTTATTCTATAGATGTGTTCACCAACCACTGGGTTCAATATTACTATTAGGACTCACATCATCGGGCACAAATATTGAGCATTTATTATGTTCAGGCACAGTCCTGCATGTAATGGCAATTTAGCATAAAGGTTAAGAGCCTGAGACCTAGGGGAAAGTTATTTAACTTTTCTGTTCCTCCATTCTTCATGTGTAAAACAGGGGTGATGATAATAGCATTGTTATGAGCACAAACACACATGAAGAAGTTAGACCCTGCTTGACATGATGTGCGTGATTCACAGATGTCAACTATGGTGTTTCTAAGCACTTAAGATGGCCTCATGCATTCAGTTAAGATCCATATGACCCAAAAGTTATAAAAGAACTGGCAATTTCTCAATGGCAAATGCAAAATCTTTTTTACTTCTTAAAGGATTTGGGAAGCCGCAGAGAACACCCTGGTTCTGCCCAGAAGGCTGCCCCCGAGCTCTCATAAATCGATGACCAACAACAGAGTGGTCAAGAGGTGCCACTAACAACCACTTGTTCCAATTGGTGATGGCATTTAGGGACAGCCCTGTAGCAAATTTTTTTCTGGCTCCTGAAATGAAATGAGATGACAAGATTTTATTTCACCAGTGACATTCTTCCTGTCCTAGCCCACAACTTCAGTATTTCCTTTTAGACCAACACGGGCATTAAAAACTGGAAATACATTTCAGCTCCAATAGAGGAAAAGGCTCAGAATAGAATCATTGGTTGTTCCTGAGATGCCATATGAAAAATTTAGATTAAGTCAGGCTTCCTTTTTTCCTCTTGGCCTATTTTCTTTTAGTAAAGGATGTAAAGACTGCACCTTCCATGACTGTGCCTTCCAAGCATGCTGCATTTCTGCTCCACTTGCTGCCTGCTGCTTACTCATCCTGATAGTCCAACTGTGTTGAAAAGAAATTTGACTGCAGGGTATGGAGGGCAGAACTAGGAGAGAGGATGATGGCACGAAAGCAAACTTTGGAGATACACTCAGTAGGTCAGTTAGCTTTTGCTTTGTAACAAATGACCCTCGACTTAAAACTTGAAGGCTTCAAACAACATTCGTTTATTTAGCTCATGATTCCGTAAGTCAGCAGTTTGGGCTGACTTCAGCTGGACTCACTCCCTCTGTAGTGTTGCTAGCTCAGCTGGAGGGCGCATTGGTTTAGAGTGGCCTTAGCTAAGATGACTTAACACTCTTCCGCAGGGTGTATCTCATAATCCACTAGACTAGCCTGGGTTTGTTCACCAAGTGATTGCATGAATACAAAGAGGGATGGCTAACATTTCAATCTAATCATGTGGAGCCCATGCCCATGAGGTAATGAGACCTAAAAAGTTGATTGAATTACATGGAAGTTATAAAACACACATGTGTGCACAGAAACCAACAAAAAGTATACTTGGCTTTAAGGATAAGGGCACAGAGTGCAGAGTAACCCAGGAGAACCCATAAAATAGCTCATAGCCACCCCCCCAACACCTCATGTAATTTACCTGTTAATATTTTCCCTCCTTCAATGCAAATTATTCTATAGTGTTTTCTTTCGGATTATAAAAGTAATTCATGTTAATTTCAGAAAAATAGGTAAAGAGGAATATGACGAGGAAAATGAAATTAACCATAATTTCATGTGTAGAGGCAGTAATTACGAATAATTATTATACATATAGCATAACATGACATTGTTTTGTATTTAAATATCCAATAATACCATTTGTTATGCTCCGTGTGTCAGAATGTCTGCTAACTGCTTTATATGTACTAATTCATTTAATCCCTACAACAACAATCATTTTTGAGATGGGGAAAATGGGGCACAGAGAGGCTAGACATCTTGCCTGTGATCACACAGCAAGCAGGTAGTGGAACAACCATTCAAAGTAGTGCAGCCCTACTTAGAACATTTTTGACCCTTAAAATCTCTACGATTGATCCTCACATCCAAAGCTACTCAAATGTTAATTTGCATCAGAATCCCCTGAA